TGAGCAATAACTCCCTCAGTAAGTACTTTCAAATCATCCATCCTTACCTTAATTTGCTTCAGTGTCACCTCACCTTCTCGGGTACGCTTGTTCAGGCTAAGTACCCCAAATTGCATTCTCCCTAGAGCATTAAAGCATTTCTCCATTAACGCTTTCTCCACCAAGAAACATCTCATAAGATGGGTCTCCAGAAAAGTTGATAGTTTGGAAGGAGACAGGGAAGAAAGCCTCAGATAATCACCTAGAAAGATCCTAAAGAGGGAAAATAAATCATTAGAAAAAGCCACGACATCAAAAGGGGGTTACTCCACAAAGAAGGTTAAGAGGGAGTCACAACATCCTTAAATCTATCCACCTAGGTCCAACCTCTTGGCTGGCCGATGGCGCAGAAGATCTGTATCCCTCCTGGGAATCTTGGGAGCACGAATCTGGGCCGCCCGAGAAGCTTCACTTTGCGCCACCCCCATCCGTTTGTAGTACCGCAAGCAAAAGACAACATTGCCTGTTGATGATTCATCTGCATCTTCACCAGGTTCTCTTGTTTCCCATTGAGGGGAACTGCAATCATCTTACGTGTTCATAACAATCCATTAGAGCAAGAACATGCAATGAAACAAATATGAAAAGAGTTTACCCTTACCTAGATACTGCTTCACTCAATGGTCATCTTTGCGGTCCCCGAGCGATGAGAACACTAGACTCCATCAGGAGTAGGCACTCCAGAACTTGAATCACTTTACAGTCGAAAGGAGAAAGAACCCATGAACTCACCCTCACGGTAAAATTGGGATCAAAGGTCCAAGATAATGGGAACAAGGGCTCACTTCCCAATCCCGTGATAAGAAGAGACATATTATCACACCCTCTTACGCAAATGAAATTGTCTTTCAAGTCCTTGTAAGAACTGGTGAAAGACTTCAAAAAATCACCCTAGAGAAAGGGCGTAGTGTTACCCAGCCAGTACTGGGAAGAAACTTTGTTCTGTAGAAGTATAAAAGCACCCTAACAGAAATACACACCCCTAAGTTGTAGTAGATTATTTGAAAACGCCTAAGTATACTCCAAATATTTGGATTAACATGGGAAGGAGCCACATTGGTAATGGTCAAGAACTTCGTTTCAAAAGAAGATAAAGGAACCAAAAACTCCTAAAACATAGATAGTAGGGAGGTGGAGGTAGAAATAAATAACAGATGGGTCACCAAATGTGCCCATGTCTGCCCTCTCATCCTTTGAGCAATGCTTTATATGCACATCCCTATCTCGTCTCGTGTTGGGAAAATTGATTTCATGAAGAAACTTTTTGATCATATCGAAAATATAATACAAATAGAGTATGTCTCGCACGGGGATGAACGTGACTTCCCTCACCATGTCGATAAAAGTGAAGGTTTAAGAAAATGAAGTATGATGCAGAAAGTTTTGAAAAAAAGAGGAGGTGAATCAATGCTTCTAAAAATATATAGTAAACCCAAAGAAGTGGGCTCACACGTCCACTTAATAGATTGGACCCAGAAGCCGGAAAGTCTTCACGCCTGGAGGCCACGTGTGAATACGTGAAAATGATTTGTCTTCTTGAGAAATACCATCATAAGGTGAATTAAATTCTAACCATGCCTCTTCCCCTTGAAACTCAATCTAGCTAAGATACTGACATTTGAATATCTTAACACGCCACCTCAAAACAAACATGTTTCCCCATGAGCATGTATGTCCTTTGCCTGAGGGACTCGCCTATCATTTAACTTGCCTTTTTGTCTAAGGGACTCGCCTATGTGTGGGGCGCCACCTAGAAAACCATTCTCGATTAAGGGAATCATTGATAGAGATATGGGTACATTCTAAAAAGTAAAGTGGTTTTAAAACACTTCTTCCTTTATAGGAAAGTCATCGTGCTTGAGGGACTGTGTTATGTTATATTTGGTAAATCCCTATACTAGGGCACCCTCGCTAACAATTGGGCCACCTTGACAAAATCCAAAGGAGACGTCTAAGAGGTCCCACCAACGTGGGATTCAAATGAGAAAGAGTCCTCGCTGAACCCGAGAAGATAGACAGACAACAACCTCCACTAGTAAGAGAGAAGCGATTAAGACCACATCCAAGAGGTAAATATCTTAAGCGATAAGAACTCATATAAATACAGTATCCCTCAAGGGAATAAGAGGATTCTCAAGTTATACACATTTACTACTACTCAGCGAGCACTATGCTCCTAGTAGCCTTAACACACCATCAACCTAACATCCCGCCTATAACCCAACAGTGCCATCCGGTGATAGAGCCTCTCAACTCATGTGAAAAAACTCCAAAACCCACCTATACAGGGCTTCTCGCCACCATGAGCAAGCCCTCACCACCCAAATTGTAATACACCTACAAAGGTTTCTAAGTCCCCTTGCCCTTAAAGAGGAAACACACACATCCTATACTTTTTTATTAGTACAATAAGCAAGTTGAAGAGGTTTCAACTGAGCCACCAGTTGAACCTAAGTTAAGAATATTTATTAGAGAGCGTTAAGTTTATTAAAGATATTTTCCACACGAGTATGTGACAATTGTTACGGTGAGAAATTGGATATCAAGCTATTGATTGACTTGAATCACAAATTGTTATTCATCATCGGTCTTTAATTTGTCCAAGGGAAGGGAAAAAGATTGAATAACCCATAAGTATGCAATGCAATGCAAAGATAAAGAATCTAAGGTTCAGGAGTTGGTTAAACTTAGGGAAGCTATTATCATCCTAAACATCTATATTATAAAATGGAGGAATTGAGATGAATCAACATCAATGATGATTTCCCGACTCTTGATGCGTATCTAGCTCGAATTCTCACTTTCCCTCTCTTACTATCTATTACAAACTAGTACTACTATCTATTACAAAGTATGTTTCTAATGTGTTTTCGTTTTTAATGCTTATGTTACACTCATTTTATACTGGTTGAGATGAGGGACTTTCACTATGAAAAGTTTTGGTTGCTATGTAAAGTCAACTTGCTTAACCATGAAGAACTTTTAAACCGCCCCTGGGAACCGCCATACTTCGCTATGCGAAGTAAATTTCGCATAACGAACTTTTATGTGTTTTTCCTCGCGTCTGTCGCTTCAAGCGAATTATGGTGCTTTTGTTGCTGTTTCTGACTTCGCTATGCGAAGTATTGCTCGCGATGTGAACGCCGCGTAGCGAAGTATTTCTCGCGATTCAAAGTTTTGTTATTTTGATTCTGTTTCTCTTTTGATATGGCTCACTTCCTCTTTGCGTAGCGAAGTTTTTGCTCGTGATGCAAAAGTTGAAGGGAATGATTTCGTTTTGCTTGTAGATGATGTTTTCTTTTGTTAATTCCTGCAAAACCATGAAAATTCAAGAGTAACATCCTTTTGGATCATTGTTAGTCAAGTTTCATCCTTAAAAGTTAATGGAAGCAAACATTTTGTTCATGTTTTTACCAAAGATTTGTCAACTATTGGACTTCCATCAAATAACAACAGCCCTTTGGTCATGAACAATACAAATAAATGCATCAGGTTAAACAACATATCTCAAAGTGATGGCAATAGAAACTGCAAGCAATAACAAAAGTAATAGAAATAGAAGTAACAATATAAGATATAAATTATTGTAAGAGAGCTGAAAAACAACCTAACACAAATGAACTTGACATTATTCTAACATAGGAACATTACTACACGCGGGATTTATGAGAAAAATATATGAACATAAAACAAGAAAATACGAAGAAAAAAAAAGGATTGTGAAAAAAGAAGGCAAAATCAACTTTAAGTGATGATAGGTCCCAGAGCCCATTCATAGTGATTCCTCAAATCTCCTTGCCTCTATTGGAAGAATCATGCCTTCCTGTAACAATATGTTAAAAAAACTTTCACATTTGAAAGAATTTAAATCTATGAAGCAGCATGGGAAACATATAGATCTAATAGTAATTATATCTATTAAAGTTCAAATATATCTATGGTGAAAGAACAATGAGATGGAAAAATAAAGAAAGTAGAGAGTTGAAACAAACCAGGATTGAGTTGGAGAAATGAAATGATGAGAAAAGAGGTATTGTGAAAACCGAAGTGTGAACAGTGATTCATTAGAAAGGAAAGTAAAATTGCTCAGGCTGCAGACTGTTATGAGTGAAAGTAAAGCAGACTTGTTTTTCCAAAAATATTGAAACAACTCGTTTGCAATAAACTGGTGATAATACTCCATGTATATCTTGTTACACAAATGCTAAAATCTGGTTTCTTTTGTTACTGTTTGTTAACTGAAGCAAGCAAAATAGACAAAATAAGTGTATTAAGTATGAATATGTTGCAATCAGATACAAGTTTGGTTTGATTTAGTTGTTATTAGACAAAAAAAAATATCCATAATATAGTGACATGAGATCATTAAGGAGAAGGTTGAATGTGTGATTTTCAGAACAATTTAAGTTCTTATATTATAAATTGTTTGTAAAATGTGTTTTATAAAATAAAATTGAAGATGTTGTGTTTAAATATATTTTATAAAAATAAATTGTGGATTAAAAATGATGATGGAACAGTTTAAGAGTTTTTTTGGATTTTTCAATTTTTTTTATTCATTATTCTGTTTTTTTTTTACCAATCCTATTATTTATCTTCTTCTCAAACATTCATAGAGTAATTAAATTAAGTATTTAAAAAATAATTTAGTAATAATTAAATTAGAATATAATTTACAAATTGATGTCATATAAGAATGCCAAGTGTGTAAAATTAACAAGGGACCATGAAAATTTTAAGAGAAACAAAGCTTAAAGATTAAAAAACTAGAGAACTAAAATTGGGTTTATGCTAAAATTAAAAAAAAAAAAAAATTATCCTAGAATTTTCAAGTTTTTAGCATAATACTTTAATTTTATTTTTGATTTACCAATACATTGTGATGGAAGTGCTTTTCATGAAAATGGTGACTAGTTTCAGTGTTTCACATCTCAGATTTTTGGAACGTTCCGCATCCTTCAATGGTGAATGACTGTGTAAGCTTTAATCTCTACCTTCAAAACTTGTTTTTTCTTTGTTCTATCTTTTGATTTTCTCAACTGCTTTAAAAAATCCATGTTTTTTCGTGTTTCAAATTCATATATGAGGATCTCGTGCTTTTCTTTACTCAAATTTTACTATTACTGATTCTAGAACATTTGAATTAGGTTTACTGGTTCTATCCCAAAACAGTGAGTAGAAAATTAAGCTATTAACTTAGGAATTTCTGAAATAATGCTAGATTTTACTTGCATTTTTAAGTATTTAACTTCGTGCAACTTTGAATTGGAACTTCATTGTTGGTCAAAGCATGTCAATTGAGATTCTACTCTAATGATTTGCTTTTTGTAGTTGGATTTTTATAGTGTTTGAATTCAAATAAGTTCTGTTTGGATTGGATTATGAAATAGCTTATGACTTGTCCATAAGTTGTTTTCAGCTTATTCAATGTCGTAAGTTGTTTTCAGCTTATTCTTCGGTATAACTTATGAAAACAACTTTTTTTTAAAACGTAAAAGAGAATTGCAAGATGTTACAATTCTAGTTTTGAAAACAACTGGACTGTATTTTATCTTTTGTTATTGAAATAGCTTATACACAAACACTTATATAATAAATGTTTATGATATAAGACACAATACTAGCACAAACACATATGTTAGACACAATACTAACACAGATAATGGTAAGAATTTTAAGAAAACAGAAGTGATTGAATGTAATCATGTGTCAGCGTTGGACTAGACATGACTTCAATTTGAAGTGCCAGTGCAATGGTTGTCAATCACGCACTATAAATTGTGAGATTGTACGATTTCATGCGCCATCGTCTCTCAACCGCGCTGGAGCAGTGCAAAGATCAGAGGATAGAGCAGCACACAGAAGAAGATCGTGAGATCAACACTCTTTTTTCGAGCCGTTGTGAAGGTTTTTGACACTGTCAGCCGATTCTTCCTCTATTTTCATCACAGACTGTGGTTGCCAGGTTGATCCCGCGCCCCGGCGGAACGGTTGGAATTAAAAAAAGACTTATTATTTTTTCTTTTATAATACTTTATTTTTATTGATTTGTTTATTTACTTATTTCTGCTTGGCTTTCTTTTTAGTTGTATATAATTAATAAATCCTTATTGGTAATGTGATTTAAAAATTTCAGACACATAATAATTAATAATAATATCAATAACAATAACAAGTACTGATAATAACAGGGAATATATAATGCTATATTATCTCTCAATTATTAAGTATAAATTGTTTCAGTGTATTAGAACAAAAAATTATTTGTTTACTGATTAAGTAATCATGGTGTTTAGATGTTTTTCCCACTTAATTATTATGTTCTATGCATATATATATGAATTTGGTAGGATCTTACATTTCGTGTTACGATCCCAAAATTTACGAATTTTTTATTCTCAAACGATCTTAGGTGGGATCCCAAGTTTAACAACCATGGCCAGTGCTACATAGATGACCCATTTTATTAATTTTGTTATGAAAGTTAAGCAATTTCTCTATCTGCAGAAGCACCAAGGCTTAATGAAAATGAAGAAGTGGTATGGAGGCCTGTTGATCATGGCTTTAGGTGTGATGCTGTTTTTACTATACAGTCTTAAAGGAATTCAGCCACAAAAGCAGTCAACAAAACAGTCAGCATACAGTTTTTTCAATAACAATTCGCCACCAAACGATTCTATTAAAAGAAGCAGTAATGTTGAAGCAGCGTCTTTCAATGCGGACCTGAAAAAGATGCCAAAACCAACAAAAAGGCCACATTTGGTACATGTCACGGGGCTTGATGATCTTTATGATATGAAAAATTTGTCTGTAGGAGAGATGAATGTTGTACTTGCTTGGACGCATTTACGCTCCTTGCTGTCAAGGTCAGATGCTTTGCCGGAAACAGCTCAAGGAGTCAAAGAGGCTTCTGTAGCATGGAAAGAGTTGCTGTCCACTGTTGAAAATGATAAAGCGTATAAGATTAGTAAGATAGACAGCCCAGAAAATCAAAATTGTCCATTCTCTGTGACCACACTTGGCCAGACGGTAGCAGATAGTGGAATCACTCTGAATCTCCCTTGTGGTTTGATCATAGATTCTTCCATTACATTAATTGCCATCCCTAATGAACAAAACAGTAGCTTTCAGATTGACCTAGCTGGACAAGAGCTAGAAGAGGAGCCATATCCTCCAATTATCTTGCATTATAATGTGAGTCTTCCAGGAGAAAACATGACAGAGGAGCCGTATATTGTTCAAAATACATGGACTAATGATTTCGGGTGGGGAAAAGCTGAAAGGTGTCCTGCTCGTAGTTCCGCTAACATCCACAAAGGTACATTTAGCATGATCGATGATCTCATATTCATGAGTTTTTGATTGTTATAAGTGATGATCTATAGACCTTTTTAAGCGTTAATTAAATTAGTCTGCATGCAAATATAATGGACAAAAACCAACTAAAAATATGTTATTTTTATGTCGAGGATGTAACTTTATTATACAATTATAACTCTGCCCAGATTATGTCTTGTTTAAATACATTTTCGTTCCATATAAGCTGCCAAGTTTTAAGGTTTCCGTCATTATTATAATTCATTACAATAGTCTATTTCATATTTCATTACAATAGTCTATTTCATATTTCATTCGTGTTATTATGCTTCCTTTTTTATTCTTGAGCTATGAAGTACACACACCAGAAATACGACACCGACATTGACGCGTTGACACTGGTAATAATTTGAAAAAATAAGTAAATTAAACATAATCAAAGTGTGGTGTCGGTTTCACAGACACACCTTTTTCAGAGGTGACGGTGCTACAGTGTTCTTGAATGCAATTTTATGAGGGAGGCTTTTAGTGAAATTCTAAATTGTCTAGTTCTATGATGCAGTTGATGAGCTTGTTCTCTGCAATGTACAAGCAGTCAGAAATAACGATGAGGAGAATGTCAATGTTGGTCAACCTACTAGCGGTATACCATCTAATATTTCCTCAGAAAGTACACATAGAACTGGTAATTTCCCTTTTTCTGAGGGTAATCCTTTCACTGCCACATTGTGGGTTGGTTCAGAGGGATTTCATATGACTGTGAATGGAAGGCACGAAACATCTTTTGCATATAGGGAGGTATGGTATAGGAAGAGAAATACTGCTAAAAACAAAATAAAACAATTAATCGGTTTGGTCATTCCAACTTTGTACATTTTTTGTGTATGCAGAAGCTTGAACCATGGTTAGTCAACACCATAAAAGTCGCAGGAAGTTTAAGTCTCTTCTCGGTTCTTGCTAAAGGTTTACCCGTTACTGAAGGTAATGATATAGTTGTTGATGTTGAGAACCTCAAGGCTCCTTCTATTCTTAGAAAAAGGCATGTTTTGTTGATCGGAGTATTCTCTACCGGAAATAACTTTGAGCGTCGAATGGCTCTGAGGAGGTCTTGGATGCAATATGTGGCTGTACGTTCTGGTGAAGTTGTTGTCAGATTTTTCATTGGACTTGTAAGTGATGCAATTCAGACTTGTTGAAGTAAATCCGCAAATTAATATAATTCTTATTCTACCAAATGTTGTAGTTTGGACTCAACCATGCATTCAACATTATAGCATAGCTTTCTTCCTTTTCATTATTTTCCGCTCTTGTTAAAAACCGTTGTGACATTTTATTTCATCTGAATGCAGCATAAGAATAATAGAGTTAATTTGGAGTTATGGAGGGAAGCTCAGGCATACGGAGATATCCAGTTAATGCCTTTTGTTGATTATTACAGTTTGATATCTTTAAAGACAATCGCAATTTGTATTGTGGGGGTAGGTTGATTATGATTATCGGCAAAGAAGATGTTGCGATTGCTGTTGTTTATATGCTATGACTTAACAAGTCTTTATTTTTAATATAAAAACTGCAGACGAAAATCATCCCTTCTAAATACATCATGAAAACAGACGACGATGCTTTCATAAGGATTGACGAAATGCTTTCCAGCCTCAAAGGGAAGCCGTCTGAAGGCCTCTTGTATGGTCTGATATCTTCTAAATCATCTCCTGATAGGGATAAGGACAGCAAGTGGTACATCAGTAACGCGGTCGTATTACATCATTAACCTCTATACTTCTATTGATAAATTAAATTAACATTCTCCCATAATTTTTCATTTTTCTAATAATCATGATCATATTGTTATTTTAGGAATGGCCACATGATACATACCCACCATGGGCACATGGTCCTGGCTACGTCATCTCTCGCGACATAGCAAAATTCGTCGTCTTTGGCCACCAGGAAAGAAAACTCCAGGTAACAAGATTTTCTCCTTTCCCATCATGAAGCATTTTGTGAGAATCTTCTGGATATTTCATGCAGTGTTGTCTAACACCTTATAGTTGCCGTATCAGCACTATATCATAGCAGATTTTCGATGAATTTGCTATGAAAACCGCGACACTTCCTAGTTTTGCCATTAGGCGATATTCTTCTAGTCATCCTGCTATAAATCTTTGTACCTTCCTTTAACTGCTAAAATTTTCTTTTTATTCACAGTTCTTTAAATTAGAAGATGTTGCCATGGGCATATGGATCGAACGATTTCGGAATAGTGGTAAAGAAGTGCATTATGAGAATGATGAGAGGTTTTACAATGCTGGATGTGAATCAAATTATATACTTGCACATTATCAAAACCCAAGGATGGTGCTATGCCTTTGGGAGAAACTGCAGAAAGAACACAAACCAGAATGCTGTGAGTAAATATCAAAGTTTTTGAGCTATAATTAGTAACTGTTGATTTTGGGGTTTGAGGAATATTTAAATGTTCAAGTTATACATGTTTGTCATCACTAATTTTTTTTTTGTCTATCTTAGTGTTCATAGATTTATTCATTCATTCTAACCATTTTCAGTAAAAATATTTAGTTTACCTAAAATTGTAACACTGATTAATTTTTTTAGATTTAATTGTATTTTTGGTCTCTTAATTGTTGAAATTGTGCAATTTTTACCCTTTTAAATTTTCTCTCTTTATGATTTGGTAGTCTTTCTCTTACTCTTAATTTCCCTCCAAATTTATAATGATGTAACACGTGTAACCCAACTTTCATAATATTGTGTGATTTCTCTTTCAAATTAAAAATTGAAAACATCATAAAGTATAAAATCATAAATAGGAAATTATGTCCACGCTTTTTAGCATTTTCTAGGTTAAATTTTAAAGAAAATACATATATGCCAATAAATGATGACTATAAAATTTGGAGGAAAATGGGACTGGGACGTAGACTATCAAATTATAAAGGATAAAAAATAAGAGGCTAAAATTGTTTTAAAATATTTTAAGAGTTAAAATCACACAGTTGCAATATTTTTTAAAAGTATAATTAAATATATTTTTCAGTATTTATAGCTTGTAAGCTCGTTTAAAATTGACTATAACCGTTATTTCTTCGTTACTTTATAATTTATTTTTATTGATTTGTAACTGTTTAATAAATTAATTCAAATGACTTTTAGCTTAAAGTTATAGATTTCTTTTCAATTTTATCCTTACTTTTAATTAAAAATTTGTATATTAATTAAATATGTCTTCTTTTTATATGTCATTCTATCTCTTAATTTTACTTTTTTTTTTTCTTGAATTAAATTACTTATTAATAATAAGAGGCACATGTTTGTTAATATTGTTTTTCTAAAATAATAAACTTTTGACAAAAAATACTTTTTGGTTATTAAAATAACAAGTAAGTCTTTTAAGTTTTTTTTTTAACGTTTTGTTCCTCTATGTTAACAAATTTTTGCGTCGTTGTCTTTTTTAAAAATTTTTGTTACAAAAACGCATATGTGACACAAACGGAACACATGTGACATTTAACTGAGATGATGTGTTATTTTATTTTATTATTTATTTTTTAATTTCACGTGAATTTTAATTTTATTTTTTATTTTTTTATTTTTTTTTCTTGGATTTTGATTCACTCTTCTTCTTCCATAATTTTTCTTGTGTAAAATCAATATCTTCTGTAACATTGAAGTTGTTGTTAGTTCTGCGAGAGGAATCTCATAAAACCAAAACAAATACAAAATAAATGTCAAATTAAGTTAAGGGCAGGGATCAAATCTGAATTTTTCATCACTTTCACAATGTTCATCATATTTAACAATATTCATGAGCAAAAATTTAGAAATCACAAAAGCAATGAAATAAATTACAAATTATATACTGTTGGACTTGGATTTTCACCCTGAATCCAAATATACAATCAAATTTATCAAACAAGTTATGGTTCATGAGAATCAGGAAAAAAAGTGGACGAAATACATAATAAAAAATTGTTCGATCCGACCAAAATACACAATCAAACACAAAACTAATTACATATTCATAATCAGCGTGAAAAACCAGTTCAAATGGTATATGAGTTTGCAATTTATGGTTGAGATTAAGAGTTTTGCCATTTTTGTGTTTATGAGCTCATGAGTGTTCTTGAAATGTATTGAGTTTTAGAGTTTTAAAATCGAAAAATATAAGAAACAACAAGACAGAAGTCAAATCAGCAACCTTTAATGTCAAATCATCTCTGTTAAATGTCACATGTGCTCCATTTCTGCCACATATGAGTTTGCAATTTATTGTTGAGATTTAGAGTTTTGTCATTTTTGTGTTTATGAGCTCATGAGTATTCTTGAAATGTATTGAGTTTTAGAGTTTTAAAATCGAAAAATATAAGAAACAACAAGACAATAGTCAAATCAGCAACCTTCAATGTCAACCCATCTCTGTTAAATGTCACATGTGCTCCATTTCTGCCACATATGCGTTTTTGTAATAATTTTTTTTAAAAAGGACGACGCAAACGTTTGTTAACATAAAGAACGACGCAAATGTTTATTAAGAAGTGAGATAACATTAAAAGATTGAGATTATTATGTAAATAGACTGATGATTACGTATCATAGATCATAGATAAAAAGTTATCAAGTCTTCACATATGTTTGAATATTAGGAGTAATATTTATAATGAATTGAGTCACCATGAGAATGCTACACAGAATATTATGCAGGTGTCATGAGTTATTCTAAAGGTGATAGTGGTGTATACCACCCTTCGACCTGAAACCACTATTTAGAAGATGACCATAAAGATGATTGATGGGAATTTCATAAATCATGTCGAGGGACATGAGTAACCTAGATGAAATTTGTTCATCCTGCATAACGTGATATATGTCTGAGGGTCAAATATTGAACTGAACAAAAGTGACACGATCTATGTCTTGCGTTCAATATAGATATGAGGGCAAAAGAATAATTTTACACATAGACATTATTATGAAAATATTTTGTCAGATCACGTGACATTTTTCTGACTTAGATAGTAGTGATGCGTTGCTAGATATTGCTCACTATTTATTATATTAAATGTGCGATTTAGTATAATTGTCAACATCATGAGAATCTACATGGTCACATACATAAGAACAAATTGATGAGAGATAGAATGAATAAGTGAAATATGTAACACCATAAGGTACATTGTACTTAAGAGAATTAGAGAAAGTTGTAAGGTAAATTACGTATAAGTGAATTGTAGAATCCCGTAAGGTACGCTGCACTTAAATGAAATACGGAATATCGTAAGGTAAAATGCACTTAAATGAAATATAGTACACTGTAAGGTACAATGCACTCAAATGAGCTTTTTTCAGTTTACAACCCACATAAGTGGTTCTATAAATAGAACCTTTGTGCAGAAACTTTCACTCTTGATGAAATTCAGTTTTGAACCCTAACCATATTCTCTCTTAAGGTCTTCATTCGTCGTAGGTAGAACTTAGATTCAAGACACTATGTTCATGTAGACTGAGTAGAGGTGTTGTTCTTCGTCCAATGCTTGTGATTGTTCTTCCAATTTTGTACCAAAAGTGTTAATTGTTACAAGATGCAACAATTTCTATCACTAATCATGTATCATTCGTATGGATAACTTAAGAAAAAAAATTGTTTTTCGTTGCATTTTATATCGCGATTTCCCTTCATCCTTTACCTCTATTTGTTTGATGTAACACCCTAGTTTTTGAATTGTTATGTTATGTGTTCATTCGTAATTTAATTTAATTTTAATTTAATTATTATGTGTGATAATTGAATTAATAGGGTGTTACATTAATGGTATCAGTCTTTTCTCTACACGAAGTGTTACATTTGACTCCTCTTCATCTGATTTACTCTCATTACCACATAATCTACAAGTCTTCTCTCTACATGTACAAACCACCTAAGTTTATTTTTCACTATCTTTTCTACTATAGGTGTGACCCCAACATTATCTCTAATATTATCACTTATAAGTTTATCATGTTTAGTCTTACCACAAATAGGCATGACAACATAATTCATACCCACGAGTACCCACCTCGAAGTTGACGGGGAAAACCCGTTTTAACTGGATTTGGATTTTCTCCGAATAAAAAATATGGGAACAAGTAGGATAGTGGGGACACTGGTACCCATTTCAAACCCGCACCCGAACCCGCCCCGTTTATTTCATTAAGGACATTATTATTTAAATTTGATAATTTAGAATATTAAATATGTGGCCAATGTTTTGATATTTTAATTTTTATTAATTATTTAAAATATTTGAAATGTATGTATGAAACTTTTTGAGATTGTTTTATTTTATTATTCGTAATGTAATTTGATTTTGGAAAAAATAGATATTTCTATTATAAAAATTGATTTTACTAAATGGATGGTGGCGGGACGGGGATACCCGAACCCAACCCGAACTTGTTTGGGACAGGTTTGAGTTTTAATTCTCCATCCCCATTCGGGTTTGGGGTAGGAAACGAGGATTGTTTGGGGATTTGGATTTGGGTTTGAGGGAGGTAAAAATCATCCCTGAGCTGCCCCGTTGCCATGCCTAACGACACATTTAATGCAACATCCTTATCTTTGTTATACTTACTTTATTCTCGTTTTGATTCTTACATTCCCAATACTCTGTCTCGTACAACATCGCATGCCTTACCGCAACCCTATAAAATTTTCCCTTCAACTTAATTGGTACTTTTGTGTCACATAAAATCTCCAAGGTCCTCCTCCATTTCAGTCACCAAACTTGAATTTAATAATTTACATCCCCTTCTATTTCTCCATCATTTCTATTGCGGACCTAAAATATTTAAACGTCATGACTTGTGGGATGATATAGTCTTCAATTTTGACTTCTAGGTTAGAAACACTTCTCTTTTTGCTAAACTTATATTTCGTATACTCCATCTTATCCATGCTTATGCAAAAACAATACGTTTCTAAGACCCGTATCCAAGTCTCTAACCTCTTATTTAAATGCTTATTCGACACTCCAAGTAAGAGTATTTCATCTGCAAAAAACATGCATCTCGATGCTAGCTCTTGGATGTGTTCAGTGAGTACATCCAAAATTAAAGAAAAATAATATAGGCTTAAAACCGAACTTTGATGCAATCCTATTATAATGGGGAAGTTTTCAGTCTCTCTATCCGAAGTATGTACACTAGTCGATACCCTTTCATACATATCTTGGATAGCTCGAATATTTTCAATCCTAACGACTTTCTTCTCTAGAGCTTTCCGAAAAATCTCTCTAGACACTCTAGGTCAATGAAAATTATGTGCAAGTCTTATTGGCTCATCCCATATTACCTCATCACACGTTGTATTGTAGTAGATAGATTACTTCCACGATTGACCTCCCATGTATAAAACCAAA